TTATTTATAGGGCCATTTACATGTCCAAATTTTACTTCAAGTATTGGGTGTCAAAGTGTGGTCCCAGGACCAGCCACATCAGTATCACCTGGAAACTTGTGAGACATGAATATTGAGCCAGGGGTGGTGGTGCACTCCTGTAATCCCAGCAGCTCAGGGGGCTGAGGCAGGAGGATCGCAGGTTCAAAGCCAACCTCAGCCATTTAGTGAGGCTTTAAGCAATTCAGTAAGACCTGGTCTCAAAAAGGCCTGGGGATGTGGCTCAGTGGTTAAGTGTCCCTGGGTTCAATCATCCCTGGTACCAAAAAAAAGGACACATAGTAAACACAAGATATATGAGGCTACTACCAATGTAACATGGCACGGTATTTTATAGTCAATGTAGGAGTATACTCTAAAATAATGATAAAATACATAGTAGAGTTGATACATTAACTAGTAACAGTACTTTATCATCATTAAGTGTTTTGTACCTAATACAGAATATGTACTTAATAATCTATGTGCTACTTTGGCAGTATATTAGATTTATTTACATATAACTAATGTGTTATTCTACAACATTATTATGGTTATGATGTCACTAGGTGGCAGGAATTTTTTAACTCTTATTATAATCTTATGGAACCACTGTCATATATACTGTTGGTCATTGACCAAGATATGGTATGCAGCTCATGGCTGTACTAAATCAGAAAATCTGGATGTGGAACTCAGCAATCTGTGTTTTAATGATTCGGCTACATGCTTATGTTTGAGAACAGATCTAGAAAGAAGGTTACAGAAAGGTCAGTCACTATACTGTTAAGAAAATACCTTGGCTGGTTGATTCAGAAAACCAAATATCCACCCACACAAAATGAAATTCTACTTTTGATCCATTTTTCAAGTTAAGTGATTTTGGCTTCTTGAGTTCATTCAAAGCCACATATTTCCATGAAAAAACTAAAAGCAGTAATAGATTGGAATCTTGTAACAACAAAAACTAACAGCATACTTGGAAGGTACCTAAGAAAACTTCTTTTGTGTATCAAACTGCAGGCTATCACAGAATTTATTCACAAGAGTTGGGATTAAAATCTAATTATTAACATTATCATCCTATAGGATGCCAAAATAAGATGGTAGAATTTATAACTTCATTTCTGCTATTTACAATTTATTGATCACTGACAGTGTGGGATTGAACAACTTTACAAAACACTCCCATCACTTTTGCCTTTGAGTCTTAAATTTCTTACATAATATACATTTTGAAAGTAACACAATGAACATTATAAAAAGATTATATGAATATAGACCTAATCCTTTTATGTTGAAATCTTGTGAGATTTTTTAAAATTTATATCTTAATCACAGGCAACTAAATGGATAGAAGTGGAGACCTTATGAGAAAAAAGAAAGATGTGCAAGGATGTTAGCTGGACTCTGCTTTTCCTGACTCTTGCATGTCAAACACATTTGTAATACTTTAGTTCTGGGCCTCTGTTATCTGAACTCTATAGTAATAGAGCCATCTAATGACCATTGGGGCCAATTACAAGCAGATTTGTAATTACAGAGCACTCAGTTTTCACACTGATACAACGGAATGATAATATATGCTTTGCAAGTTAAGCCATTTAAAAATAATTTCTATTTGATTTTTAATACAGTATATTTCTGAAAATATATATTCCCAATTTGTTTAATTTGGCTAATATATTCAAAGAAGACAATCTTAGATGTTTGTGATTAGGGTTAAGTATATTAGTAAATAAAAATTCAAAACTCTACTCGATGTGGCTTCCTAAGAACAGTTTGTATGACGAAGGGAGATTGAGAGGTTAGGATTGTGTTTGCCGTCCTTGAAGCTGTTAATGTCATTGTGAAGCTCCTCCAACCTCTTGCATAGAGGAAGTACTTGTTGTCAGTTCTGTATTTTCTGACAACGCATACAGAAAGCAGCACTTAGAAAATTTAAGAGCCTTTACATAATACGTCCATTGTAAATTATTCTTTAGTATTGTCCCTGAAAAAAAAACTCTGTAAGGAAAAAGTTTCACAATTAATTGTGTTTTACCTAATGTGTTAGCTGGGTTTTCCAGTGACTCATGCATAATTGGCATGATTCTTTGGAGAGGTCATAGTAATGGGTGGGTAACTATTGCTTTGAAGGCCAATGGAAATATCTAGTTAAGGAAAAAAAAAAAAAGAAAATGTTGATGGGTGTAGGCTGGACTTTGCTTTTCCTGATTCTTACAATCACCATTGTGACAAGGATTGATAAGTAGCCCAGTATATGTTTTCTCCTTCTAGGTCTCTCTTGCAGCTCAATGTGCCATGTCCAGCTCATAGACAGTGAGATTTAAGTGGAAGAGGTGCATGAAACTTCCAATAATGCCATTTAAGGGCAGAAACATGGCTTTCTTCTCCCTTTCCTTCTTCCTGAAGGTGGAATTTAGAGCTAATAGCTAGAACTTAAGCAATCATGATGGAGCAAGATGTCACCTAGGGCATTATATCAGTTATCTATCTATTGCTGTATTGCAAACAGCATTACCTCACAATTTAACAAACATTGTTATATAGCTTCTGCAGTTAGGAACTCAGTGATGGCTTTGTTGGGTAGTTCTGACTCAGAAGCTCTCATGAGGCTGAGATCAAACTGTTGACTAGGACTGCAAGTCAACTGAAGTCTCAAAAGGGCTGGAGAATATTTTTCTAAGATGGTTTACTCTGATGGCTGTTGGCAGGAGGCATCATTTCCATGCTGGCTATTGGCAAAAAACCAATATCCAAATGGTGGTTGGATATCTTCATAGGAATACTTGGGTGTTTGCATGACATGTTCACTCTGTTTTCTCTGAGAGTGAGTATCCAAAGGAGAGCAAGGAGGAAGCCACATTTTTTTTTGACTTAGTTTTTAAGTCATAACTTACTTTTTATAAGTGTCACCTCATCACTTTTGATGTACTTCATTATAAGTAACTTGCTACCAACCAATCTTTAAGTGGATGCTACCTTTAGAAAGAGGAACACTGTGGACAGAATCATTGTACTCTAGTGATATACACTTCCTAACCCCCAGAATCCATGCATGGAATAAAGAACTTTATTGATATAATTAATGATCTTGAGATAAGGAGGTTCAAAGTAATCACAAAGGTCCTTATGGGTCAGAGTAAAAGAATCAACATAGGAGATAGATGATAAAAGCAGGTCAGAGTGATATGGCCAGAAGTCAAGGCATGCAGATAGCCTGTAGAAGTTGGAAAAGATAAGGAATACTCCTCTACAGCCTCCAGAAGGATTTCAGTTTTTGACTTTAGCCCTGTAGGACCAGTTTTGAACTTCTGACCTCCACAAATGCTAAGATAACAAATTTGCATTGTTTAAGCCACTAAGTTTGTGTTTTTTTTTAACAGCAGCAAGTATTTTTGGATATATTTAAAACCATCACTGTCCACAAATTATTTATAGTTCTCCCACATACAAAATAAACTCACCAGTCTTATGGCCTCAAGATGTTACTCCATTATAGTATTAACTCAAAAAAGTTTAGACTCTTGCTGGGTACAGTGGTGCATGCCTGTAATCCCAGCAATTCAGAGGCTGAGACAGGAGAATTGTGAGTTCAAAGCCAGGCTCAGCAATGGTGAGGTGCTCAGCAACTCAGTGAGGCCCTGTCTCTAAATAAAATTCAAAATAGGGCTGGGGATGTGGCTCAGTGGTCGAATGCCCCTGAGTTCAATCCTCAGTAACAAAAAAAAAAAAAAAAAGTTTAGACTCTTTTCCTCTAAATGGGCAGGGGCAGATGAAGTCTCTTGGGTATAATTACTATGTACAGCTACTTAAGTACATACTCATCAATCTGAAGTGGACTAAAGAAAAAATCGTTATGTTCCTCTCCTACAATAACCAATATAAAGTGATAGGGCATATGGGACAATTGCTAGAAGCTCCTGTTCCAACAGGTAGAAAAAGAAAAGATGGTGTACAGAAGTTACTGGTCGGTAGCAAATTCTGAAATCCACTTGGTTACAGGCTTGCAGTCCTCTTTCAAAATCTGGGAGTAATTCTTTATGGTGGTTTCACACTTGACTCTTGGTTTTACCCTCTAAGTCATCTTTCTTTCATGAAAGGAAGTATATATTTGCACCTGAATAGTTTTCTCAGCCTGCTTCATGCATGTAGAAATGTGACTCACAAATCATTTTGAGATACATGACTCTCTTTACCTTGGACTTCTGCTAAAGGGCAAAGACCATAAACTTATTAGAAACCCTATTATGTGAATAAGAGGACCTGTGGGGCACACTTTGAAAAATTTTGGAGGGATTTTTGTCTGAAGACGACTCTGATATACCATCCTTAAACACCACTGGGATGAAAGCCAGTGGACCAGTAAAACAGAAGAATACTGTCTCCTGCTCCTTGGCACATAGTATCAGCTCTGGAGTGAACTGTCACTCAAGCTTTGAATGTGAGAGAGAAGTAAAATTCCCTCTCACATCTTAGGTCATGATTTTGTAGAAATTTTCTGTTACTGATAAAATAACTGAATCTTAACTTATCCTAACTAAGAACATCTTTGGTGGTTTCGGGGGGTGTGGAATGAATACATAACAAAGTAACTCATGAATAACTTTAGAACCCCAAGCTACAGTTATTCAGGATTTAGTAAGCCTCCACATTCTGTTGATCAGCACACACTCTGAACCCATCATTATTCTCACACATTAGTAGTTTGATACTTGCTTTCTGTGGTGGCTCATGTCTATAATCTCAGCTACTTAGTGGGCTGAGGCAGGTAGACTACAGTAGAGATCAGTATGAACAATTTAGTGAGACCTAGTCTCAAAAAGTAAAACGTGCTGGGGGTGTAGCCCCTAGGTTCAATTCCTAGTACTACCAAATTAAAAAAAAAATTCTTAATGAACTGGTAAAAAATTACTTTATTCCACTAATATATATATAGTATAAATAGGAGTGGGAAGTGGGGAAGTTGGGAGTTGGGGATGGAAGGTAAGTAGATTGGGGATGTTTACAAAAATAAAAGACCTGGTCTCAGCACTTAGGTTATTTATAGACTCTTTTTTAAAATGGGAGAATAATTACAATTTTATTAGGACTATTTGGGCTTATGTTTTGAAGCCACGTCTCATTTTGAGGTCAAAAGGCAATTTTAAGCAAATGGACTTTAAAAAAATTATTTGTTCTAATTAGTTATACATGACAGTAGAATGCATTTTGACACATCATACATAAACGAAGTATAAGTTCTCATTCTTCAGGCTGTACACGTTGTAGAATCACATCAGTCATATAATCATATATGTACACAGGGTAATAATGTCAGATTAATTCTACTATCGTTTATTTATAGACTCTTTAGAGAGGATAATCGATATGCATTTTAAAAGTACTAAAGAATTACAGCCCAACATGTCATCAACACAGATGCAAAAATCCTCAACAAAATACCAGCTAATCAGCTGGGTACAGTAGCACATGCCTGTAATCCCAGTGGCTCTGGAGGCTGAGACAGGAGGATCAAGAGTTCAAAACCAGCCTCAGCAATTTAGTGAGGCTCTCAGCACCTCAGAGAGACCCTGCCTTTAAAAAAATACAAAAAGGGCTGGGGATTTGGTTCAATGAGCCCAGCGCCCCTGGGTTCAATCCCTGGTACCAAAAAACAAAAAAAACTCAAAAAACCAGCTAACCATATTCAACAGTACATGAAAAAGATCATTTACCAGGACCATGCAGGATTTATCCTTAGGATGCAAGCTTGGTAAACATATGCAAATCTTTAAATGTGAGACATTATAATAACAGAATGAAGGAAAAAACCATATTCATCTCAATTGATGCAGAAAAAGTGTTTGACAAAATTCAACATCCTTTCATGATAAAAACTGAAGAAACTGTATATAGAAGGAACAATTCCAACACAAAAAAAAGGCCATATATGACACACCCATAGTTGACATATTATGAAAACTTTTCTTTCTTTTGGTACCAGGGATTAAACTCAGGGGCACTCAACCACTGAGCCACATTCCCAGCCCTGTTTTGTATTTTATTTAGAGACAGGGTCTCACTGAGTTGCTTAGCACCTAGCTATTGCTGAGGCTGGCTTTGAATTTGTAATCCTCTAGAGCTGCTGGGATTACAGGCTTGCACCACTGCACACCATGGCCTATGAAAGTTTTTCTTAAAATTAGAGAAAGACAAATTTGCCTCGTCTCACCATTTCTTTTCAACATGGTACTAGAAGTCCCTTGCCAGAGCAATTAAGCCAGAGAAATAAATAAAAGATATCTTAATAGGAAAGGAGGAAGGGAAATTGTCTCCATTGATGATAAGATCTCATATAAAGAAAACTCTAAAGATTCAACTAGAACCAATAATAAAATGCAGTAAAATTGCTGGATACAAAGTTAGCAAAAATCACTAGCAGTTTTATATACTAACAATAAACTATTCTCGTGCTGGCATGAGCCTGTAATCCCAGTGATTGGGAGGGTGACTAAGATGCCAATCTGGGTAACTAGTGAGACCCTGTCTCACTAAGTTTACTTTTACAAAAAAGTAAAAAGGACTGGATATGTAGCTCAGTGTTAAAGCGCCCCTGAGTTCAATCCCCAGTACAAAAACAAACAAAAAATGGCAACAAAAAAACCCCAAACAAAAACAACACCCCCCCAAAACAAAACTAAACCAAAACAAGAAAGCAAAAAGAAATTTAAAAAACAATACCATTTCTAATAGCGAAAATCAAGAACAAGCACAAAAATCTTAGGTATAAATTTAACCAAGGAAGTAAAAGATCTGCATACTGAAAACTAATGATGAAATAAATGGAAGAGCACCCAAAGAGATGGAAAGATATCCTGTATTCATGAATTGGGATAATTAATATTGTCAAAACGTCCACACTATCTAAAACAATATACAGGTTCAATGCAATCCCTAACAAAACTACAATGACATTTTCCACAGAAATAGCAAAAATAATCCTAAGACCTCCAAAAGGCAAAGCAATCTTGAGCAAAAAGAACAAAGTTGGAGGCACCATGCTGACTTCAAAATATACTACACCAAGTCAAAATAATGAAAATAGCAGAGTATTGGTATAAAAACAGACAACACAGGTCAACAAAGCAGGATGGAGTCCAGAAATAAACCCTCACATTTATAGACAACTTATTTTTGATAAAGGAGCCAAGAACACATAATGCGGAAATAACAATGTTTTCAATAAATAGTATTGGTAAAATTGGATATCAACATGCGGATGAATGAAATTGTACCTGTATCTCATATCATATATAAAAGTAAACGATAATGAATAAAAGACTTGCATGTAAAATCTGAAACTATGAAACTACTAGAAGAGAACAGGAGAAAAGTCCCATGATATTGACCTGGGCAATTATTATTATTTTTGGACATGATTCTAAAAGTACAGGCAACAAAAGCCAAAATAGATAAGTAGGACGGCAACAAACTAAAAGTTTTTTTTTCTTTTCTTAGTATTGGGGATTGAACCCAGGAGTGCTTAACCACTGAGACACATCCCAAGACATTTTATTTTTTTATTTAGAGACAGGGTCTTGCTGAGTGTCTTAGGACCTTGCTAAGTTGAAGAGGCTGGTTTTGAACTTGCAATCCTCCTGCCTCAGCCCCCTGAGTTGTTGGGATTATAGTGTGCATCACCATGCCTCGCCAAACTAAAAGGTTTCTGCACAGCAAAGGAAATAATTAACAGAGTGAAGAGACAATCCACAAAGTGGGAGAAAATATTTGCAAACCATACATCTGATAATCATATCCAAAATATGTAAGGAACCCTAACAACCCAATGCAAGAAAAGAAATAACTCGATTAAAAAATGGGCAAAGAATCTGAAATAGACATTTCCCAAAAGAAGACATACAAATGGCCCACTGGTATATGAAAAATGCTTTCTATCACTACTCATCAGGGAAATGCAAATTAAAGCTACAATGAGATATATCACTTCATATTGGTTAGAATTGCCGTAAGAAAAAAAGAATAAGCGTTGGTGAGGGTGTGGATAAAAGGGAACCCTTGCGCACTGTTGGTGGGAATGTAAGTTAAAGCTGCCATTTTGGAAACAGGATGGAGGTTCATAAAAAAAAAATAGAAATGGATAAAAAATAGAAACCATAATCCAGCAACCACATTTCTGGGCATATACCCAAAGGAATTGAAATTAGTCTATCAAAGAGTCACCTGCACACCCATGCTTGGTGATGCACTATTCACAATGGTCAAGATATGGAATCAATCCAAGTGTCCATCAATGACTGAATGGATAAAGAAAACGTGGTATATTTACAAAATTGAATATTTAGCCTTAAAAGAGGAAATCTTGCAGTGTGTGACAACATGGAAGAACTTGATGGACATTATGCTAAGTGAAATATGCAAGGCACAGGAAGATGAAACTCAGAAATAGAGAGTAGACTCAGGTGTGGTGAAGGACGCCTATAATCTGAGCTATTCGGGAGGCTGAGGCAGAGGATATCAAGTTGGAGGCCAGCCTCACCAATTTAAGGAGACTCTGTTTCAAATAAAAAGTGAAAAAAGGACTGGGAGTTGGGGATGTAGCTCAGTGGTAAAGGGCCTCTGTGTTTACTCCCTCCCCAGTACTTCAAGGAAAAAAGAAAAAGAAATAATAGAATGTTGGTTGTCAGAGGCTGGGAGGAACTGAAGATTGGGAGATGCTGTTCAAAGGGTACACTGTTTCAGATAGATTTTTTTTTTTTTGCACCAGGGATTGAACTCAAGGGCACTCGATCACTAAACCACATCCCCAGCCCTATTTTGTATTTTATTTAGAGACAGGTCTCACTGAGTTGCTTAGCACCACACTTTTGCCAAGGCTGTCTTTGAACTCTGGATTCCGCCGTTTCAGCCTCCTAAAACTCTGGAATTATAGGCCTGCGCCACCACACCCCACAGGAGGATTAAATTTTAAAATATATTGTAAAGCATACAATAATGTACTATATTAAGAGCTGCTGAAAAAATTTCAAATCTCATTTCTAAAAAGATAAGTGAGGTGATTGAGGCTATAAACTTGATTTAATCATTCCATATAAGGTACATATATTAAAACATCACATTATACTCTCACATATATAAACAATAATGACTCGTTAATTTAAAAATGAGATAAAAGTTCTAAATGCTTACAAAGCAGGGTTTTAAGATACAAATGAGCAGGTAATATCACTGAAGGAATTACATATTGCAACATTTATCAAGTGCTACATATACATTTTAAAATCCCTAAAACCCTTGAAGAACAGAAAACAGACTCAGGGAGTACAAGTAATTTGCTAAATCGTGTGCAGTAAAGACAGAATGTAAATTGTATCCATCCATCTAAAGCCTGTGCTGTTCAATTCAATGTAAATAACAGAGAATCCAATTTAGATAAATGCATGTAAACATACTGACTGATATGTTTATAAAGGACAGATATTTATAAAAGATAGATGAACTTTTTGAAAGAAAAATCTTTACAAAATGTTCTTTACAGAGCATTTACAAATTTAATATGGCCCTAGAAAATGATTAATTTCACTGAACTGGATTTTTTTTTTTTTTTTGCAACAAGGGATTTAACTAGGGGGAGTGGGTGTAACCACTGAGACACACCCAGCCCTTTTCATATTTTATTTTGATACAGGTTCTTGCTAAATTGCTGAGGCTGCTTTTGAACTTGTGATCCTCCTATCTCAGCCTTTCAAGTTGTTGGGATTACAGATATGCACCACCGCCTCTGGCTGAACTGGATTTATACAAGGTTTTAGGGATATAATATTTGAAGAAAGCAGTATTTTTTCTTTTGCCACCATCATTTCAGGGAAGTACAAAAAGTTGATTTAATAAATAAATCCAAACTATCTCTTACAAAAGAAAGAGTACCCCAAAAGGTAGCCTGGGATTCGTTTCAGGTAAATATTGGTAAGAAGGGCCTTAAAACTGCTGCTTTAAGTCTCTTACTACTTATTTTTCGGTACTGGGGATTGAACCCAGAGGAGCTCTACCACTGAGCTGCATCCCCAGGCCTTTCAATTTTTTATCTGGTGACAGGGTCTCACTAAATTGCGAAGGCTGACCTCCCATTTGCGATCCTCTTGCCTCTGCCTTTCGAGATCCTGGGATTAGAGACCAATACCAAGTAGCAGAAACCAAGAAGCACCGCAAACTCTGGAAGAAAGGGAGGGCGGAGGTGTTCAAAGCAGGGATAGAAAACCAAACTGAAGTGGGGGGGGGGTCAGGCTACCGCGTGAGAGCACCCGAGAGTGAACAAAAACAGAGCTGCTGGAAGAGCAGCGAATGGGTAGGATGGAGGACGAAATCCAGGGCTGCGGGAGAACAGCGCGAGACAAGACCCCGGCACCCAAACACTGAGTTCAGGCCCGCAGTGAGGTCACAGCTCCTTATGAGGTGGGGCCCACCGGCTCGACCGCAGCGCTTTCCCGTCGGCGCCCAGACGGCGGCGAGCTCAGCCGCTTCCCCACCGCCCGCCCTAGAGCCTGGATGGTGGTGGAGGCGGCGGTGGC